CAAAGCTTCCCTTGACACAGTTCCATCACCCTCTGCTCCTTGCAGTGTGAACTGTGCTCCTGCTGTAATACAGTGCTTTATTATACCTGATCGCCCTAACCGCCAGGACCACCTCTCACAGACCACGGCGCCCCCAGAATCTGCACAAGAAGGCCCCAGTTACTCAGCCTCAGTGGCTCCCATCGAATGAATGAGGATCATCAAGGTTAATGCCCACATCAGCTTGTTGTGAGGATGAAATAATGTAACACCAGATGCTTGGCCATGGCTCGACACACAGTAAACGCTCAAAAGTTAGCGACCATTTCTTGAGTGAATGGGTAAAAAGAGTTCTGAAATTGTCATAGGATCAACTATTCCAGTAATTTTTTTCCAGCTATCAGTAAAAATGACAAACCAGGCAACTTAATTCTGATAAACTCAAAGATGTGCACTGATGTTATATGTGTACTTTTTATATGCAGTCCAGCAATTCCCCTTCTCCCCATCTCAACAAACACACAATACACTGAAGCTGTTGTGTCTTCCAAGGCACCTTAAAGCACGGTACCCAAGTTACCCCCAGACATCAAGTAAGCTCCTCCCCGCAGGGAGGATATGCTGTTACTACTACAGATCAATTTAAATATCCGGTCCCACGTGGCCTCAAGCCCACTGAGCCATGCAGCCACTCTGGCTACCGCTATTATGAAGGTTCATTCCCCTCATTCCTTCCTAAGTTTTTTCTTTGACCAAAGCAAGCACTGTTCAAGAGGGACATTTGCATTCCCTTTTCCCCACCCCCAGGCAGACACCAAGGTGCCAAATGAAACTGAGCACAAACATTCCGAAGTGGCTGTCACACAGAGCAGGCTTGTTTGGGAACTTGGGGGAGCCCTGTGCTCTTCCACCAAGGCTCTGAGGAGCCCATGTTCAAATCCAAGTGAGTTCCACAGGAGAAACCAGATTCTCATAGTTAAAACTCAAATGCACCTCGGAATGAGCAGACCCAGACTGGCAGTGGCTGCTGGGAGGACCCGGCATACTCACCTGTGCATTGATTAACCCCTCAGTTAAAAATGGAGGCTTATTGAGGGCAGGTGGAGGGAGTGGATTTCCCAGCTGATCCATCCAGGACATCTCTAAATCCCCTACAGGCAAGAGATCGCAATCATAAACAAGGGCTGCTTTTTAACAGCTTACCTATAAAAAGCCATCAGCTCCAACCCTACCAATAAGGCTATTTCATATGTTTATCAGTTATGCATTTATAAAGAATTATATGCACGTGTGTGTGTGTGTGTGTGTGTGTGTAGCTTCCAACTGTGTGTGGTACTTCTCTGGTGCTGGGGTACTATCTATGGGTACCTGTTCTATATTGGCAATACTATAAGATGGCACTGATCTTTTTTTAAAAAGAAACTACAGGAAGGGAGGTATTGATTCAGGAGTTCAATGGAGATAACACAGAGAGATAACTGGAATTCTGGGGAAAATCATCGCTCTGGGATTGGGACATTCAGGTGATGAGATCCTGCAAAAAATGTAGGCTGAAATTGGACTCCTCCTTCGACCGCAGCCCAGGCTCAATCAAGAGGTGAAAAAGGTGGCTGGAGCAAATGCTGTGCAGAGTGCTGAGGTACGACAGGGCAATCCTGAACGGACCTTACACTGTGGGGACGGATGAGTGCTGGAGGGGTCGGGGTATGAGAGGGCCCAGCGTTGTGGTGTCGGGATGGATTGGCAAAGCAGGGAGAACAAGGAGCACTGGTGAAGATCACTAAAATGCGATGGGACAAAGGAATGACTGACAGAAACCTTGGGAAGAAAGGCTGTAAGGACAGGAAGAGATCTGACTCCTGCAGAGAGGCTTGTGGAAGCAACAAAAAGTACCCAACTCAAGTGTGTTTTTGTGACACTTACAGATACTGCAGAGGAAATTTACAGAAATCGACAAAGCCAACAGATTTTGTTTTCTGTTCACCTGTTCATTTTAGAAAATTCAGAAAGCACAGAAAAGCCTCGGTATAAAAAATGATTTATGACCTACCAGATAACTGTTAGTAATACTTGGTTTTATATGGTATTTCTTGAAAGAATTGGCATCGCATAGTATAAAACGTTTAAATTTCCTCTTTTCTTTTAATGTCTAACATTGATTAACCCCTCAGTTAAAACGTAGTCAGAAGCTGGAATAGACAAACTCGGATTCTCTTACACAGCATTGAAAGGGAACGTGCTGGACCCGACAGGTTCATGCTAAGATTTCTGGCCTCCAGAACCATGACAGAATACATTTCTGTAGCTTTAAAGCCACCAAAATATTTCTTCTCCCCCACCCCAACACTGATCACATTTGTCCTCAGAGCAAAATTAATGTGAACCCACCCCCCCAAATATATAAAAGCATGTCCAAAAGAAACCCCTCTCTATCCAAAGTAGCCAATCAACAAACACCACGCGAAGCAAAGCACATGAGCCTAAGGGTTTATCAAGGAAATTTTAAAACCACCACTGGAAAAATAACAAAAGTGCACCCAACACTGGCAGTGGTTTTACAGCATCACTTTACTATGAAGTCACCACAGTTCCACCCAAAACCCTGCCACAAATCCTACTCTATGACTACAGTGCAGGTTTATTGTATTAGATTGGAGCTGGAGTAATACAGACTCCAGACTTGGTATATAAAACCATTCTGTGCTTTTTCCAAGGCATAAGGTACAATCATCTTAATGCTCCAATCAAACTGACATGGGTACCCTTACTTGGTGTCAATTCTAACAAACAATTTTCTTCGTGGCTCCAATATTTTGGCTCCAATATTTTCCCCTGTAACACCAGCACCTCAACAATAAAAAAACTCCTTTTCAAAGCAATGGGTAAACAGCCAAAGGTGGTGTCTCAAGAGAACACTGCCTAGTATAAAACCAGAGGCAAATTCTGAGAATTAGCTTATTAATTGTAAAATGATGTAGGACATAGTATGCTGCCCTACACACACATCGGCCTTGGAAATCTCAGCTCCCAGCCAGGTTTCGACAACTCGTCTTCTTCCTTCATGTGAACAACTTGCATAGGAATATTTCATAGCGTGTAGCGTACTACGAGTCAGAGAGCCAGCTACATTATCTCTTACAGGGTTGGTTAGCCAAATCTTTATTTTGTTCTCAAACTTTTAAGTATTATCCAGAGCAGAAGTCTATGTCCTGCCCAAGTTCTCACAAACTCCCAACCCTGAAAAACTGCAAAAATCCTCCTAAATCCTAGACTGTTTAATCTTTACAGTTGAAACCACGTAAGTATTCCTGCATCAATTATTTCACACGAAGCTCTAGAAGCTCTCCAGAAGGAATAAAATGCCCAGGAAGATAAAAAGGATCTCATTTAAAAAACAAACAAAGAACACTCTTGGATTCTATAACGTAGCAGAGAAATCCTAAACTACCCTGATGATCGATAAAATAAACCATTTTCTTTCAATGAGGATTGGACCCTCTCTCCCCCATCAGTTCAACCACCGCCATAAACTACAACAAAACACGTTTTCCTCTCTCGTCACTATGTGCATAGACGTTCTGTTTGAAGGTGCTGTTGACTGGAGTCCTCCTCGGCCAAGACTCGTAGATGAGGACACACTGCCGGTTGCCGGGTGGGCAGGGGAAAGGATCCAGTGTGGTGGCTTTGTAGAATGCTGAGCACACTGGTGGGACTCACAGAAACCACTCCTTATTTGACTTGCGGCTCTCGGGGTTAGACAAAAGAGGCTGGGAGTTCTTTGAAATCAAAACATAAACCCAAAACAGGGAATCAGGGCACAATTACCTGCATGTTCAGATCAACCTACTTTTCCTCTCCTGCAACCTGGGTTCTGGAATCTTCCTAACCGTCCTCTTATTTCTCAAACAACAGTAACTTGCTAAAACTACCGACAGCTGGGAAAGTCAGACGCCATTCCCACCTGAAAAGAACCAGTCAGGCTACAGGGCAGGTGAGAGGCAGCGCCTGTACTGGGACGGCCTGTGGTCCCATCTGGACACAACCTCACATGGTAAACAGTAACAGTAACAGTGACCAGTAACCAGGGCAGACGATACCTCAGTACCCATCAGCGGGTAGGCAGAGAAAGGTCAGGCAGAAAAACCTGACTTTTCTCTATTTAATTTTGTCGAATTAAGTCGGTTATTATGGTTTGGGGACACTCAAACCTCTTTACCACCTATCAAAAGCAATAGTAATAATAATAATAATAATAATATTAATTAATGATAATAGAAAAAGAAACCATTGGTGTGTGTGCCTGATTCACTTTTTCTATTTACAAGTGTTCTTAATTGGGTGAACAGAGAAAGATGGTTTCGTACAATACATTCTCACCCTCAGAAGCAAACACTGACAACCTCATCAAAATAGAAAGGTTTCTGGAGCAGTTATTACCTCGATGGGTTAGGATGAATTAAACATAGCAATTCTTTAAAAAAGGCAAACTTGTCATTGTTTTCTACATTTTGTTTCAATGGTAGAGAAAATATATATCAAAGCAGCAGGTAGGGTTCAAGAAGAACATGGGGAACTTGAAATTTCAATCTTCACCTTTGAAAAAGGAAATGGCAATACTGCTTCTCCGCTTGAAGTTAAAAAGAAGGATGGAAGCAACACTTTTCAAAGGAACAGTCTTGTGATCCAACAGGCAATTTCCTGAGGTGGTTTGCTGCCCTTCACCTAAGATACACCACCATGCCCCTCACAAATGTGCTCAGAGCAAAGCCTTGATTTAGTTCTCAGGGTCTTAGGTCTCTCCTGTCTCCGCCACTTAAATAAGTTCCCGTTTTACAGTAATAGTTCCCATTTTACAACTGGACACTGTGCAGATGGCTTTATATGTATCTATTGAATCCTCCCCAATGTTTGGTTTCATTACCAGAATTTTAGTTTGCACATAACACAGCATTCTGGTAACCATCTCAACATCCTAACAGATTTAGAATCAGTGTACCATTCTGCTAACCTCATGTGTCTGGATGCAACACCTGTACGAATGCTTTACAGAACATACCTAGATGCACATTTTCTGTTCTAAAGTTCCTTTTAGGATGTTTAAGAACTCAAGCAACTGGGATGTTAAAACAGAAAATACTGCTCCTTGGACTCCAGGTAATGTGCCTGCAGGAACAGAACCACTGTAGAGGACGCCACGAATATTCTGAAGACAACATTCTGAATTGTGTTCAGAAGTCCCCTCCTACCCTTGCTGAATTTTGCTTCCATCAAAGGGACGCTCGCTGCGCAGCCGCCACATTTTCAGTGACTTGGGACCCACCGATGGAGTCTGCGCTCAGAAGTCAAAGTCCTTCTAAAACAGCCTCGATGACCGCTTGGTAAGTGGTCAAGTTTTAACTTTTTTTTTTTTCCCTTCCGTTCCTCACGACCGCGTCGCTCTAAATTTACAAAACCTAATCACCCAGGTTCGGTCGGGGTCTTTGACTCATCCGAGAGGAATGTTGCACAGGAGTTATCTATTAATCCCAAAGCCTCAGCACTAAAGACAGTTCACCAAGAACTTTCATCCTGGGGGGGGGGGGGGGAGCAGGGAACAGAAGGTATCTTTTAAGACAAACTTCCCCCCAGTTCTTCCTGAAACCACGTACACAAACACACCCCAAAGCTCACAGCGCCAGGCGCAGAAGTTCGGGCCCTTCGGGTCCCAATAATCTGAGGTCACCCGGGAGTCACTTCTCGATTCCGCTTTTACAATCACGGGCAAACAAAGCTGTTCATTATGCCTACAAGTCTCCGAAAAGTCCTCAAAGTTACGCAATTTTAGGCACGCACCCACAAAAACACCCTCTTTAAGGTTACGCCCTCCCGGGGCCACGTTCTGGGGCGATCCCGACCCCCGGACCGCGGCGCCCCGGGACCCGCGCCCCGCCGCCTCCGCCCGCAGTTCGCAGAAGTGCGGCGTCCCCGGTCGCACCCGCCACCGCACCGAGCCGCCCGTACCTCTTCCTCCTGAAGGTTGGCCTCGTTCGGGGTGTTCTCCTTCTCGGCTTTGACGCCGTTGTTCATCTTCCCGGTCCTTCCTCGCCGGGCTGGGCTGGGGCGCGGGGCTGGGCGAGGGCGCGCTCGCCCGCTCTTCCCTTCCCCGGGCGCGGCGGGCTGGAGCCGGGCAGCGGCGGCTCGCGATCCCGGGCGCGGCGCGACCGCGGCGCAGGCGACTCAGGAAGTGCGAGGGAGACTCCGGGCAGGGCGAGGCGCCGGCCGACGGGGGAGGCGACTGAGACAATCGGGACCCGGGCGGGAGACCTGGAGAGTGCGGGCGGGCGCGAGGGGAGGAAGGAAGAAAGGATGGGGCGAGGACGCGCGTCCCGGGAGTGACCCCAGAGAGTTGGGGACGTGGTCGAGCAGGGGCTGGGGGCTGCGGCAGCCGGAGCGCCTGGAGGGAGGGGGCGAGAGGAGGAGGAAGAGGAGGAGGAGGAGGAGGTGAGGAGCAGAGGGCCGCGGCTGGGACGCTGGGACCCGAGAGCAGAGGGGTGCGCGCTCCAGGAAGGCTCTGGGAAGTCCGGGATCCGAGCAGCTCGCTTTCTCTCGCCTTCCTCCCTCCCCTCTCTCCTCCCCTCCCTCTCCTCCTCCTCCTCCTCCTCCCTCCGCCCTCCTTGGACGGGGCAGCGGGCTGTCGCCGGGAGGGACCGGACGAGGACGCCGAAGCCCCCTGCCAAAGGAGGGGCTGCGCCCAGGGCCGCTGCCGGGCGCCCGAAGGCGTGCGCCGGGGAGGGGCTGCGGGCCGCGGGGGACACGGCGGGCCCCCAGCCCGCGGCTTCGCGGTAGGTCGGAGAGTTAGGGCGCGGGCAGGAGGGAGGGCCGGGTCCTCCGGGTAACCTCGGGGTTAGTCCGGCCCCCGTGGCTGTGCGGGGCCTGAGTTGGCGACCTGGTGTGGCGGTGCGTGGGAGCTTGGTGCGGGGCTTCGGAGAGCCAGGCCCTGCCCGTGCGACCAGCGCGAAGTGTGCTACTTTTGTTTGCTGGCTTCTCACCAGGGGTTTGCACTCCTATGCCTCAGCCTAAGCCCTCCTTTTCAGTACCCGGTTAGACCCATGTCTTCCCTCCCTAGTCGGCAGCTGCAAGTGACAGGAGGCGAGAACTCCAGTGACATTCGGGGGCGGCCAGCGCCCGCGTTCTAAGGCGCAGCTTCAAGCCCCCCCCCTCCCACGCCGGGTCCTCAGACACCGCCTTGCTCCCCACTAGGCTGCGGGTGAATCCGGTTCATTTCAGATCCCTCTCCCAGCTCCTATCACACTGTTCTGGAATTATCTCTTCACCTGGCTTGTCTGTCTGGCTCCTTTGAGAGGTCCTCCCCGAAGACAACTCTCTCGCCCAGGTTATCTTCTGTAATCCTACAGTTTTTAAAGTGCGCTACCTGCTGTACCGTCTCGACTCCTGAGAAAGACTTGCTGGCCAGGGGGACTGGGGGCCAGTGCAGATGACCTGCAGAGGAGGGTCCAAGGAGATTAAGGAAAGGGGCTGGGCCTTCTGGGAGGTCGGAGCACGAGGCTCGTTTGGCGCCGACCTCGGGAAGACCGCCCGGTGTTCTTTTCTCACCTGTGAAATGGGAGCAACCCTGTTCATCTCCCCGGGGGGGTGGCTGGTGGAGGAGGTTGTAGGTCGGTAGAGCGTAGCACCTGGCGCCCTTTCTTACTCAGCTTACGTTTACGATGCGTGGAAGTCCACCTTATCACTGAGGAAATTTCCACTTAGTCCTGGACCGAAGAGAACTTTCCCAGGACTGTAAAACTTAAGTTTGTTTAAACGTGGGTGCTACAAGCACAAAAGTTGAAAACGCCGTCCATCCGCAGGTCCTGCCTCCCTCCCCACTCCCAGGGACTCTGTCTCCCAGCGTGCTGCTCCTTTCCAGCACAGCCACGATCACAGTTTCTAATTATTTGTCTTGCTGCAGTTTCTCTCCCCCCCTCCCCCACCCCAAGGAACATTCTTGACCAACCGGGGAAAGCGTTGCTGGGAACGGGGCAGCCAGGCGGTGGGGGCTGAAGATAACGCTTCCGCGTTGGGGAGTTGGAAGCCGTGTTGTGGCGACAAGATAACCCCAAACAACTGCACGGCAACACACTCGCAGGTCCTGGTGCAAATTGTGGAAAGCAAAACACCTGCTTTCTAACAGCATTCGAAGAGAAAAACAGCAGTGATTCCCATACCGGATTGTTCTTGGTGGGGAGGGCGGTCTGGAGATTTTGATAAAGACTGAATTGCTGTCACGATGTCATTTCTCGCCGTGAGAAGAGAAAGGTGTGCCCTGGGTGAAAATAAACCCAGACTATTCAAATACAGTTGAAGTGCAGAGGAGGCAAGGGTTGCAATTAACCTGGAAACTCGGACAGCCCTCTCCACTTCCAGTCCGTCCCGCGGGTTATATGAGGAGCCACGAGGGGGCAATGTCTTCCCGAGCAGTGCCTGGTCCTGGGGTGGTCCTGGGCCCCTGTGCCGACCAAGCCATGCCAGCTCTTTCCTCTCCTTGGCCTTTCTGGCTTCTTACCGAACGTTCCTCACAGAAAGGCATTGTCTTGCTGGAGCCTGGCAAAGGCCCAAGAAAAATGACAGTTGATTTAGTCATTGGTGGTTCCAGGCAGACTCCATTTATGAAGGGGGTGAAAGAGCGTGATTCCCGGCTGCTAAGAGAACCTCCCCAAACCCCACCCAAGGAAACGTGGCTTCCTTCCAAACTAGAACCTGATTCCTTTGTCTTTAAGCCAAGCCAGCACTTTGTCCATTGTTAAAAGTCCAAAATCTCTGGGATAAAAAACAAGGATAAGTTTTAAGAGAGGATCTGTGTTTGGCTTGTTCATCGCTGCGTACCCAATACCTACACCGTGCCTCATGCGTAGTAGGCTCTCAATAATTATTTTTGAGTGAACGAACACATTGTCTTATCAGTTTCGATTCTCAGGCTTGAATGACATTAGAGCCTTCCACGATGGGGAGGAAGGTCTGAATTCACGGAAGGGTCTCCAGGTGTAGAGACTGGGGAGCGGGACACCTGGAAGATTCATGGCCGTGGTCTTCGTTGTATCTGGAAACCCCAGATTAGCGAGCTTGTGCGGAGCGGACGCCTGGTGAGATTTCAAGAAATAAAAATGAAATTGCACCACTCGCCCAGTCAGCTGACACACCAGGCAGTTGACAAGAGATCTGAGAGACCTCACATATAGTCAGCGGTGACCTCGAAGTTCAGAAAAGCGTGCGGGGAGGAGGTAACACACCTGTAGACGGGGGGGGACACTCCTCGTTTGTCCTTTCCATTAAAAATAGTTTAGACACATTTGGAAGAACAATAGGGTGGTGTTGCCAACGGAACTCAATAAAAATCTGTAAATTTGGCTATTTATCAGACCTTGCGAATGTGGGGAGTTTGACTGTGTGTGAGATGGTGGGGCTGGGGGAGAATGGACATTCCTTCAGGATGTAAATGATCTTTGTGACCTGTTTTGTTCCAAAAGTGGTATCTCCTAAGTAGCAATAGTTTCCAGACACACCAAGAGTTATAACAAAGGGACTTTATATCCTAGGAAAACAGCTAACGAGCAAGAAACATCTGCCCTGCGTTCTGCCCGCCACCCTGCCGCATTGCTGTGGCCCGCCAGGTCACACGCTGGACCGCTAGGGGAAGGTGGTGTGCACCTGTGGTTTCTGTCGCTCATCTCTGCTTCTCTCACACTGTTCCTTTTGAGGCATGCTTTAAGAAGTCGAAACCTATAATTATGACTTAAACGTTTCTCTCTGGGAATCTCAGGCATAAAGGTCGGCTTTGAGGCATGGGTTTTGCCTCAATGTGAGCCTGACAGCAGAAAGCTGCAGTATCTACCACATGTGTTGTGACTGTTAACTCTTATGCTGGACCTAAAACAGTTCTTGGGGACCAGAGTCTGTTTTATTGGGTTTTGTCATCCATGATAGTTCTTTCTCCCTCGCCCTGCTCCCACCCACCTCCCGGCCGTCACCGTCTTCCCTTGATGTATTTATTACTTTTTCACTGTGGCTAAAAAAAAACACACGGCACAGTGTTTGCCATTTGAGCCATTTTTCAGTGTACAGTTCAGCAGGATGAAGTATATTCACATGGTTGTGCAACATCCTCCTGATCTTGACCTCCTAAATAGTTCCGAGATTCAATCACTTCCCTGCAGTTGCTGGTGGCAGCCCACGCAGCCATGTGGAGAGGCCCACAGGGAGGAGGACGACAGCCCCAGCCCAGCTCCCTCGGTGCACAGCCGGTACCCGTTGCCGGCCTCATCAGTGAGTTGTCTTGGAAGTGGATAATCCAGCCCCATCAGTGTAGCCGCCCCACCTGATGTTGCCTGTGAGGGGGTGAGCTGCCTTCTCTGAGTTGTGCCCAGATTGCAAAACCGTTAGCACAAGACTCAGCGCTCTTATGCGCAATCACTGCATTCTGTGGCAGTTTGTTACGCAGCAATAGGTAACTGACACACGATTGCACACCCACAAGTGAGGTCGGGCTGGCACAGAAACCTGAAGCAGGCGGCAGTGGCTTGGGGCTCAGGTGGTGGATAGAAGCTGGAAGAACTGCGAGTCTGCTAGTGAAGAGCATTATTGACGGGCAGGGAGACTGTTCTTATTCCAGGCTGGAGAGAGGGGAACCACATGCATGTATTGAAAGGACAATTAGCCAAATTAGCCTGTGTTACGTGGGAGATAGAAATAACACCTACTGAGCATGTGGATCTGGCTCCAGGGATATTTGGGTAGGCGGTTGAAGGGTCAAAGGGTTTCTTTTTGGTGCTAATGATAATGATGTAGCACAAGAGAAGTGAGATGAGCTAAAAAAAAAAAAAAAAAGGAAGTGTTCCATCATGAATATGATTGACAGCAAATCCAAAGAATCTAAGACTCCCTGGATTTGAAATAAAGCTATTTGTCTTTTCTAGCTTTTCCAGGGGACAAAACTCTCAAAACAAGGAATGGCCTAATGGCAAAGGTCAAATCCAAGGTGGAGTCAAGGAAATGTGACGTTGCCCTGGCTGGCGTGGCTCAGTTGGTTGCAGCACCGACCCCTACACCAAAAGGCTGGGGGTTGAATTCCCAGTCAGGGGGCACAGCCAGGTTGTGGGTTTGATCCCCATTCGGGGCGCCTATGAGAGGCAACCAATCCATATTTCCTTCTCCCATTGATGTTTCTCTATCTCTCCCTTTTTCTCTAAAGTCAATAAACATTAAGAAATATGGCCTTAGGGAAGTTCAAGACATGGCTGTGGCTACAAGACCGTGTGGTGGACAGCCTCTGTGATGATCCCTGCCTCCTGGTACTCAAGCCCCTGTGTAATCCCTTCTGAGTGTGAGCTGGACCGAATGACTTGCTTCCTCCCCCCCAGCCCAAAAACATGTTTATTGATTTTAGACAGAGAGGAAGAGGGCAAGAGAGACATCAATCAGTTGCTGCCGTACCCACCCCAACCAGGGACCCAACCCACAACCTAGGTGTATGTGCCCTGAACATGAATCAAACCCACAAACTTATAGTGTGCAGGACAATGCTCCAACCAGCTGAGCCACCCGGCCAGCGCACGCAGGTTAGATTACAAAGAGACCATGGTCCCCATCCCGCACACCCTCTCTTGCTGTCTCACATGCTCCTTATGATGGAAGCTCAGCTACTGTGACGTGAGCTGCCCTCTGCAGAGGCCCGTGTGGCAAGGGACAGCGGAGGCTTCCACTCAAGAGCCAGGAAACAACCGGGGCTTTCAACCCAACAACCGCAAAAAGAGACTGGGAGGCGGGGCATCCCTAGATGAGGCCTGTTAGATGAGAACTGTTATGGACTAAATGTTTGAGTCTCCCCCAAAAGTCATATTATGAAGCCATACCCCTCAATGTGATGGCATTAGGGTCTTTGCAAAGTAATCAAGGTTAAATGTGGTCTTGAGTGTAGGGTCCCATGACGATATTGGTGCCCTTATAAGGGGAGCAGATCCCAAAGCCTGTGCTCTCTCTGCCATGTGAGGGTACTGTGAGCGGGTAGGCATCTGCAAGCCAGGAAGACAGCACTCACCCTGAACTAAGGTGGCTGGCACGTTGCTCTCCAACTGCCCAGCCCCCAGGACTGTCATACGTATCTGTCATTTAAGCTGCCTGTTGCAGGAGCCTGAGCTGACTAAAGCAGGACCATGGACCAGCTGACAACTTTGTCACGGACCTTGAGAGACCCGGGGGCAGAGCCTTCGATTCCTAACCAACCGAAACTGTGAAATAACAGCAGATTGTTGTTTAAAGCCATTAAGTTTTGAGATAACTTATTATCTGCAGTAGATAAGCTGATACCTCAGAAAGGTTTAAGGTAGTACTTAATAGACCCTTTCAACTAGAAAGCAGGGCTTCTAAGAATTGAAATGGTGTTGCCAATAACAGTCATTGGCCCAAGGCAGAGAGACACCTGTGTTTGAAAAAAAAACATGATTATAACTTGAAGTGTAAGACACCTATGGTTATTTAAGGATCTTCAATAGCTTGCACTGAAGTAGACAGACTGTTCACAATGAACTGGAGGCATCTGGACCTTCAACTTCACAGGCAGGAAGCAGGCTGAGGAAGCTGCTCATTTGCAGTTACGGACTGTTTCCAAAAGAGAAGAGAGGGCAAGATGGAGCAGAGAGCCACGGAGGATCGTTTCCAAAGAGCAGGCGTAGGGCAGCTTGAGGGACTGATAGCATTTGAAGAGCTGGGTTTCAGAATGGCTGTGTATCACTCCCCTCTTCCCTCCCATTTTCTCCTCTTTTGAATGGGAGTGCGTGTCTATTCCAGAGTTCCTGTTCTTGCCTTGCCATTAGTTGTTGGGTGTGTGAGAAACAGACTCTTTGTCTCTTTGCCTCACTGATCTTCAGATCAAAGGGAAACTTCTGAGGAGCCACAGTTAAGGAACCACATCCAAGGGACCACATTTGCACTTGGATCTGACTTAGATTCCAGTGTCCTAGACCAGGGGTCGGCAAACTTTGTAGTGTCAGATAGTAAATATTTTAAGCTTTGCAGTCACATGTGTGATCTCTGTTGCATCTTTTTTTTTAATAACGCTGTGAAAATATAAAAACCAGTCTTATCTCGGGCTGTACAAAAACAGTCCATGGGGTGGTGTGATTTGCACCTCCAGCTGCGGTTCGCTCACCCCCGTTCTAGACTCTGAAATGGTGTATAATGGGATACACCATTCTGACATCCTTAAAGGAGAAAATAGCGTATGTTTCATATGGGATGGAAATGTAATGCTGTGGCCGTAGGGTGGATAGTAGCGACTATTCTTCAAACATGGCCTCGGCTAAGGTCCCCTCTCCGTACATTCATGCCACACTTGCCATCCAGAGTTGGAGTTTACACGGCCTCCCCTTGAATCTGAACTGAGTCTGTTTCTGCTTAGACCAGTACAGTGTGAAGGAAATGACACTAGGAATTCTGAGCCCAGGCATTAAAAAATTCTGGCAACTTCTGCTTCTCCTCTCTTGGAAGCCAGCTTTCATGTAATGATGGAGCCCAAACAGTCACCTATAGAAGCCCTAGCCCTCCCACCCCACTCCCACAGCTTCACAGCCTCACCGCCCGCCGCAGCCCACCCTCGAGGGAGCCATTCTGACGCGGACCCTCCACGCAGAGCCGCACCAGCTGACACCGCATGGAGCAGAGACAAGCCCTCAGAGAACTGCCCAGATTCTAAATAGACTTGTAAGCAAATAAATGGTTATTGTTTTCAGCCGCTAGCATTTGGGGTGGTTACTTCTGTAGCAATATAGAATGAAAACACGGGAGCAGGGAACGATGTAAGTAAGCAGGGCTCTGAAAACCAGGAAGCACAGCGGGGAGCAAGTATAGTAACTTGACACAATAGTTACAGCTATAAAATAACAAAATCACAAGTGCCGTTTCTGGTATATACTTTCCTTCCAAAAGACAGTAAAGGAGAATTGAAAAATGTGTGTGGTCCCTTCAGAACCTGAATAAAAATTGCTGACTATGTGATGGTAAGTTGAAAACAACACAGCCAGACCGAGCTGTGGCAGTGATGCAGTGGGCAAGGCACACTTATGATTAAGTGGCTTTTCCTACCACCAGTCCTGTAGTGTTATGTGGTTTGAATTTGTGCTGCAGGAAAACAATAAATGGGCAAATGCCTTTTTAAGAGCCACTTACAAGCAAAAGTCAAATGCTGAATTCAGAAAGTTTAAATGCCTACTGTACTCTAACTTGTCTAGAATGTAATGAACCTGTAAGTGCGTGTTAGGAGGTAAGGCTAAAGAATCCGTTCCTTTAGTCATTATTAAGAACTGCCCTTTAGAAAGCAGTCTTCAGTGGCTAGTAAGCTAGAGTCGAGGGAAGCAGGACAGTAGATGGGAAACGATGACATTGAATGACCGGGGGGATAAGCAATGAAAAATGGACAAGTTATTGATTGTAAGGGCTAAGGGAAAATAAGTCACTTGACTTAACAGCCAGGTGTGAAGACTTCAAGAATTCAGGGATGCGAACTCCAGAAAGGAAAGGAGAGGGGAGGAGAAGAGAGAAGAGGAGAGACGTGCACACACAGACAAACAGGCAGACAGACAGATACCCAGAGAAGACCTGGCTGTGTGGAGTGATGAACTGAGCATCAGGCGTATTAAAACGTCAAGTGCCCAGATCATGCTGACTGTTGGGAAGTGAGTCTAGCCTAGAGACAGGAGAGAAGAGGAGAAGAGGAGTGCCATCTGAATCAAAATCCCGGGTGAGCTTAAGCAGCAACAAGGTGGGAGAATAGAACCATCAACAATATCTGTGCTTAGACCACACAAGGAGAAAGATTAGCTAGGAAAGAGGCAAACTAAGCAATGAGATATAAGAGGAGAGACAGCACACTAATAAAAATAATGCAGCTGCCCTGAACAGTGTGGCTCGGTTGGTTTGGTGTCAGCCCACAGACAAAAAGGTCACAGGTTGGGTTCCCCATCAGGGCACATGCCTGGGTTGTGGGTTTGGTCCCCCGTTGGGGCATGTATGAGAGGCAACTGATCGATGTTTCTTGAATCGATATTTTTCTCCCTTTCCTCTCTCTAAAAAATAAATAAAAATTTAAAATAATAATAGTAATAGCAGCTAACAGCACTGAATAGGGGACCATGCCACAGTCTTTACATGGTTGTCACATTTTATTATTTGAAGATAGCAGGTTAAATATAAACAGTTCTACCTACTCTGTTCCAAAACCTCTAATAAAAAAACACAGAAAGTACTTGTTGCTATCGTCATTATTTTAAGACATAAACTAATAGGGATACAGAGAACGAAACAACACAACTGCAATAAAATTTGGGAAGCTGCAAAGCGTATGGCTAAACACTGAGAAAAGAATCCTCAGCCTGGTGGGAGACAACTGAGTAACAACCTTACACTGAAGAATCGCCTGAAGACTTGATTCAAGCCTTGGCAGCAGCTGACGGCTCGGGAGGGAGAGTGGGAGTGGGGCTGCGGCCCCGAGGACCGACTGGAAGGAAAGCGCTCTGCACCCAGCCTCCTCTTTCCCCCCACCATGTACTGTTAATTAACATTTAAAAATTCTCCCCTCTTTTTAGGAATATCCAACAGATGCTGCATTTACTCATAAGGATTTGAGTAAACTTTCAATGAGTGAAAAGGGGGAATTTTAAAAAACAGCTTTCTATTTGTGTCTATTATATTTAGCTGGTAACAGAAATTAATATGGAATTAATGTGCTTGTAATTTTATAAATGCAAGAGGGATCTTCATCAGGGAAAGTTGCAAAGTGTGAATACACACAACTCCCTTGTCTTTTTTCTTTTTGACTTTGACTCTTTTTATCCATTTCTCCTACTGGCCACTCTGCTTACCTAAGGCAACCACTGACCTGTACTCAATACATTTCTTTTTAGATTCCATGTGTAAGAGATCATATAATATTTGTCTTTTTCTGACTTATTTCACTCAGCCTGATGCCCTCAAGTTCCACCACTGTTGTCACAAGTGGCAAGGTTTCATTCTTTTTGTGTGTCTGAATAATATTGCACATATATATGTGTGTGTGTGTGTGTGTATATATATGTATATATATATATATATATATATATATATATATATATATAGTCTGTCCAGAAGGTATCCAGCCATGTAATATGAAAAATAGAGACATTTACTGAAGAAAACACAGGAAACATTGTACATAAGACAATGACGCCTCAGCCCCTTTCAAAGTAGGCACCTTGGGATCTCACACAGTTCTAATCTCCCTCAGCTGCCCTGTTATAGTTTCCTGAATCTCATTAATGGTCTGAAATCTCTCCCCTTTCAAAGGTAATTGTAGTTTTGGGGAACACCAAGGTCTCAGGGCACCAAACCTGGGCTGTAGGGGGGCTGAGTCACCTGGGTCATTTGCTGTTTTGCAAAAAAACCGCATGAGACGTGATGCGTGAGTGGGCTTCTTGTTGTGATGAAGCTGCCAATCACCAGTTGTCCATAGCTTCAGCCTTCTCTATCATCCGAATAGTTTTCACAGAGGAGTGTTCAAGCTTAACATAATATTTGATGCAGATTCGTCGTTCTAGTTACTCAGGCATTTTGAATGTGACGGCCGCACAGTACACATGCTCACTCAATGGTGTCTACCACCCCCACTGACTAGTACAGTGAAGTCGTCATTCAGAAATGTGCATTCCAGTCCACTCTCCTTGGCTTCATTATATTAGCAATGGCTGGACTTTTCCTGGACAGACTATGATGCGTATGTGTGTGTGCATGTATATTACTTTATCCATTCACCCACTGATGGACACTTAGATTATTTCCATATCTCGGCTCTTGTAAATAAATAATCCTGCAGTGAATATGGAGGTGCATATATCTTTTCGAGTTAGTGTTTTTAATTTGGATAAATTGCTGAATCATATGGTAGTTTTTATTTTTAATAATTTTAATATTTATTTTAGAGAGGGGGAGAGAGGGAGGGAGAGAAATATCAATGTGTGGTAGCCTCTTGCACGCCCCCCACTGGGGACCTGGCCCACAACCTGGGCATGTGCCCTGACTGGGAATCGAACCAGTTGGTTCGGTTTGGTTCACTGGCTGGCACTCAGTCCACTGAGCCACACCAACCAGGTTGCAAATAATAGTCTTTAATTCATGTCTTTACTTCACTACCTGTTTTTTAAATGAGAACAAGCATATGAATTTTGCTAGAATATTCATTGACTTTTAAAGACTAAACAGTGACCTAGTCTCCTCTGACGCTCCCATTAGATGTGTTTACGCCACATTTAAAACGTGAACATAACTGCACCAAGATTTGGCTGGATGACTCATATTTCATCCATGATGTAAATCTACTGAATTGTCTTTCGAGTTTGATGCCACATCAGTTAAACATTCTAGAAAAAAAATTTTTTTGACCAACATGATTTGTTCTGAAGTCATCTGGGATTTATTTTATGAGTGCTGATCTTGATTTCTGCTGACCAGACGGTGCTCAGACTTGTCACAGATTCTGGGCTCTAACCTGGTCTGACTCAACAAATTTCGTCTGCCTCTCGAACGTTGGTTTGAACTGAACAGCAGCCAGTCAAGAAACATGGAGGAACATATGTGTGGAGGTTATGAAAGAAGGTTCATGCTTCAGCTTTTGTAACATAATCACTAACAAACATTTTAAGCTCCTGTTGACACTTTCATTAAAAGTTGAATATTTTCAACTTACAACCAAAGTTACTCTACCCAGCAAACCAATCATTTAGAATCAAAGAACAGATAAAGGGCTTCCCAAAAGAGAAAACACTAAAGGACTTCATCATCACCAAACCAGGATTGCAAGAAATGTTTAAAGCATTTCTTCAAAAAGAAGGGGAAAAAGATAAAAAATATGAATAAGATGGCAATAACTACATAAAGTAAATAAATACACTTACTGTAAATGTAGTAAGTGCTCTATCAGAAGATGTCGGGTGGCTAAATGGTTAAGAAAAGAAGACCCAGTGTACCAGCGTGATGTCTACAAGAGACCCACTTAAGGTCAAAAGACACATACTGAAAGTAAACAGACAAAAGAAGATATTTCATGTAAATGGAAACAGAAAAAAAAAAGCTAGGGCAGCAATACTTATACCAGACAAAAAGTCTTTAAAACAAACACTATAAGAAGAGACAAAGAAAACCCCAGCAATTCCACTTCTGGGTATTTATCAAAGAAACCCAAAAGACTAATCTGAAAGACATATGCATCCATATGTTCACTGTGGCATTACTTATAATAGCCATGATATGACAGCAATCTAAGTATTCGTCAGTAGATAAATGGATAAAGAAGCGATGCATATATACAATGGAATATGACTCGGCCATACAAGAAAATGAAATCTAACCCTGGCTGGTGTGGCTCAGTGGATTGAGCACCAGCCTGCAAACTGAAAGGTCACAAGTTCAATTCCCACTTGGGGCACATGCCTGGATTGCAGGCCAGGTCCCCAGTAGGGGTTATGTAAGAGGCAACCGATTGATGTATCTCTCATACATAGATGTTTCTTTCCCTTTCTTTCTCTCTCCCTTCCACTCTCTCTAAAAGTAAGTAAATAAATAAAATCCTTTTAAAAAAAAGAAATCTTGCCATCTACAACAACATGGATGGACCTAGAGGGTATTGCGCTAAGTGAAATAAGTAAAGCAGAGATAGACAAATGCCATATGATTTCACTTATATGTGGAATCTAAAAATCAGAATAAACAAAACAGAAGCAAACTCACAGACACAGAGAACATTTTGATGGTTGCCAGATGGCAAGGGGGTTAAGGGAGAAAGGTGAAATCAGGGAAGGAATTCAGTACAGATCGTTAGTTACAAAATAGTCATGGGGATATAAGGTACAACATAGGGAATATGGTCAATAACATTGTAATAACCATGTGTGGTGTCAGATGGGTACTGGATTTTATCAGGACATCACTGTGTAAGTTAAATGTCTGCTCACTATGTCGTACACAATTTTGTATGGCAACTGTAATTTGAAAATAAAAGTAATATTATTATTTATTCTCACCTTAGGACATATTTTCATTGCTTTTAGAGAGAGAGAGAAACACTGATGCAAGATAAAAACATCGATCAGCCGCCTTCTCATGCCTGCAGTGACTGGGAATCAAACCTGCGACCTCAGTATGCAACTCGGTATTCGACCATGAGTCAAACCCACGACTTTCCAGTCTATGAGATGACACCACAACCAACTGAGCCACACCAGCCAGGCTAAAAGAGTTGTTTTCAAAGATTTTTTTAATTTACTGATTTTAGAAAAAGAGAGGAAAGAAGAGACAAAGAGAAAAAACATCATTTTCATGGATTCTGGTTAATTCTTATATGTGCTCTGACTGGGGATCGAACCTGCAAACTTGGCATAGGGGGATGACACTATAACCAACAGAGCTACCCAGCCAGGCCCTAAAAAACTATGTTAAAAAATGTAAATGTTTCAGAAATGAGCTACATGCAAGTACTTTATAGTAGCTATCATTGAATCAGGGAGTTTTGAGTTATACATAAGACATGAACAATGGGATGATCAGAGTTACTGCTTATGTTGATTTGTGATTCTTTAGAGTAAAACTTCGTTGTAGAAATTTAGAGATTGGGCACTTTTTTTGAACCATAGCTATGCCACTCGTAAGTATCAACTTTGGGAAAAGTGCTTCATTTTGCTTGTTTGTAAAACTGGACTAGTGATGGTGGTTTGCCTCTGGCTCAGAGCTGCCCTCAAGACCACGTGACAGACCACAAATACATGAGAGAACGTGTATTTGTTCTAACAGAAGCACAAACGTAAGTTAGGCTACGAGTCACCAGTCCATAGGTTTCTGCACTGATGTGCTTCCACACGACCACGTGAAACAAATGTGCCGTCAACCTCCATGATGTGGTAGCAGTGCTAACACCTAATCTGCTTCTCTGGAGATGAGCTCAACTGTGCTCAGGACAAGGCGCGCTTCTTCCATCTTTGTGATGGACTACAGTGTTGCCATTAAAAGGTGCATCCTTTATTTGACAAGGTTGAGTAGGATAATTCTTTCAAAGAAAAAAACATTCCAGATGGTTACATTTCGGTCCGAGCCCATCCTGAGAACATTCTCCAGCCCTAAGCCCACATACTGTGTGGGCTGTATATGTGCCCACATACTGTATATGTGCACATTGTATAGTTGCATGCATGTAGACACACACACACACACACTCAGTACTACATTTTTCATTGGATTTTGAACTGCACGCAATTTCTTCACTTTAAAGCTTTGCTTTCCAGGACGCAGTTGTTTGAGAGGTGGTAGCAATAATCACACTGGCCTTAGTAGTTCTGTCTCCTTTTGTGAATGATCTATTTCTACAATATTTTTGCTCATTAATGCACATTTTATTCATGGAACTATTTTCACTAGAGACCTGTGCAGGAAATACTGATATGTTACGGCCACGTGAGCCTTTTTTCTTCTTTCATTTGCAGGCTCCTTCCATCCTTTCACCACCAAGGACAGGTTAGTGAAGTCTTCTGTCCCGTGGCCGAATCTGACTAGAAACCTGGCACTCTCCTGGCTTCCTTCTGCTTACAATTGGTTTCTTTTTGTTTTTAGACAATTACCAACTTGCAAAGAAAATTACAAGAACAGGGCAGGGAATTCCCATACACTGTTCACCCAGAGACACTCTCCAGTTTCATTAACCGTCTGGACAATGTCCTTTAAAGCCAAAGGATCTGATCCAGAATCGCCCTGTTATGTGTTCGTCCATCCTGTCTTCTCAGTTTCCTTACACCTGGAATACTCTTGGCTGTTTTGTAGATTATCCCTCAGTGGGTTTGTCTGATCTTTCTTCCCTCGTGCTAAGGGTGCAGTTATGCATCTTTGGCAGGGATGCCGAAAAAGCGAAGCTGTGCTCTTCCAACTGCGGCCCCACCATGCAGAACATCTCAGTCTGTCCCCAAATGATGTTAATAATGTCTGATGGCAGAATGACTCCTCTTCCTCTTACAGCTGGTCAGCACTTTGTGGGGAGGGACTTTGAGGCTGTGTAAATATCCTCTTCTAATCCAACATTCAGCTTCCGGTTTTAGCATCAGTGGATGCGTGCTGCCTGAATTAATTTTACTATAATGATTGACAAGTGGCAAGCTTCTAACACCACCACTCATTTTGAACTTACTGACTGGCCTTCTACTCTAAGAAAAATGTTGTCTTCTCCCCATGCATTTTTTTCCTTTATCTATTTATGCCAGTGGGGACTCGTAAATTCCTATTCTATTCAGTGGGATAGAATGTTAGCATCATTACTTAGTTTGATGCTCAAACTGCCCGAGATTGGCCCACATTTGGACTCCCATGCAAGCTGACTCCGGTGTCCTGCTACACCTCATCGGTCTGTGAGCCCTTCATTACTTTCTGGCACAAGAAGAGGTTGCAGGCCCATCTTGCACCGTCCATGCGCCAGGCCTGGAAGCAGCCATTTCTACCAGGAGCCCTTTGGGTGAAGAATTGTGTTTAGATACCAAGGTCTGGACACCAGGTGGCTCATTGCTACTGGCCCTCTTAGTGGACAGAGCTAGGGAGTATACGCATGTGTACACACGTTTTTGCATGTGTATGTACACACATACAAACATATGTGTTTCTATATCCCTACATTCACACCAATCCCTGTAATTCCAGTCCAACCCACAAAGCACACATTGTAGTTTTTTCCCCTTTCCATGTCTGTAATTCCCTTCTCCGACAGTAAGAAACCTGTCATTATCCTCCATGTATTTGCTTGTTGCTCTGCTCGCCTGGACACACTCTCTGGTGACCACAGGGCTGTCACCCTGCTTGGCAGCCTTTCTTGTATAAACTCCAACTACCTTCTGTGCTCAGACCAGCATCCTGATCTTTAAATTAAATTAGGAGGGAAGAAAGGGAGGGAAAAAGGAAAGAATGTTGCTCACAATTATTCAAAGTCTTAAATGTATTTTAACATCACCAGTATTTAAGGTGCCTTTCAATAACCCAATAGAAAAGTGGTCAAGGACACAGAAAGGCAATTCATTTAAGAAATGTAATATCTGGATGTTGCAGACAACCTAGGAAGTGAGACTGAATAAATCATTATATTGTACAGTGTATACTGGGCAGCCATTAAATAGGATTAATATAGATCCTTCCTTATTGATTTGAAAAAACTTCCATGACATATTACATTAAAAATGTTACAAAATATTACTATTTTACATTCTATTTTGTATGTGTATATAGGTGTGCATAGGGAAAAAACCATGAGAGATTATGAAGGAAAAAAATCTATACTATTCTCGAGTCTTATAGAAATAAATATTATGAGAGATCCTTAGGAGATACTCTGAAACCACTACTTAATGGTTTTTCCCCTCCCTTTGCCAAGCACATGGGTTTAATAAACTTGCACTATTTAGCTAGGTCTGTGTTTTCTTTTCAAGAAAATAAATATGTATGTATACAATCAAGTGAAGAGAATGTATGACATTTGTAGAATTCTATGTGTGATGCTCTGTGAAGAAAGAGTGCTTGCTCGTGTCAAGTAGTCTTACTTGAGAACACAGACAGACTTTTCCCTCAGTACCTGGGTGAGTTAACAAAGGTGTAACTGGGGTTCACCATTTCACAGCAGCCTCGTATGAGGTCAGAGTTGTGCTGGCCATAGTTTCTACCGGAGAGAAGGTGTTAAAATCACACACATCGTGTCTGTCTCAGCCCTGGAGCAGGAGCTCGGTGGGGCTGGTGGGGCTGTCCACCCCACCGATGAAGCGATCCACACCCGCTCAGGGGTCCGAGATGGAGGAGGAAGTCACACCTGTAGCAGAGAGCTGGCAGCAGCGTGGGTGGCATGGGGACGCTGTTCAGCATCGTCAGTAAAACGACCTGCCTTTCCTGAGTCTCTTTTGGTGTCCTGGGCCTTTTTTTGTTATCTCGTGATGGAAAGAACCAGGATAAGATTCTCTAATTTTGTTTTTACTTTTAAAAACATTTTTATGGTCTGCCTGACATTTTTAAATGATTGCATACTACACTTCTAAACAGAAAAAAATGTTTTCACTTTGAAATTAAGGAAAAGAATGCCTTCAGAATGCCCAAAACTCAGTAAGAGATCAACCCAATTTTAAAAAGAAAAAAATGAGCTGAAGACTTGAACAGCAAAGAAGATATATGAATGGTGATTAAACACACAAAAAATGCTCAATCTAATTAGTCACTGGCGAAATTCTAATTAAAACCACAATGAGATAACCCTATCAGAATGGCTAAAATTATTTAAACTTACAAGACCAAGTACTGGTGAGGATGTGGAGACCAACGGGAATTCCCATGCCCGCTGTCTGGAAAACAGTGTGATAGTTTCTTATTAACGCACCATGCAGTTCAGCAGCCCCACTTCCAGGTGGTTACCCAAGTGAAGTAAAAACCTACTCACATAAGAATCTATCCGTGAATGTTTGTAATGTCTTTATGCATCAGCCCCAAAGTCTGGAAACAGTCCCAGTACCTCCATCTGGTGCATGGATAAACACACCGTGATATATTCACACAATAAAAAGAAACGAATGACTCTTTTTTAAAAAAGATTTTATATATTTGCCCTGGCTGGTGTAGCTCAGTGGATTGAGCACGGGCCTGCAAACCAAAAGGTCGTGGTTTGATTCCCCATCAGGGCACATGCCTGGGTTGCAGGCCAGTTCCCAGCAGGGGCCAGTTCCCAGCAGGGGATGCACCGGAAGCAACCATACATTGACATTTCTCTCCTTCTCTCCTTCCCTTCCCTCCTAAAGATAAATAAATTAAAAAAAAATTTTTTAAAGAATGTTATTAAAAAAGATTTTATTTATTTATTTTTAGAGAGAGGGGAAGAGACAAGAGAAAGAGATAGAGGGATACATCAATGTGTGGTTGCCTCTCACACACTCTCTACTGGGGTCCTGGCCCGCAACCCAGGCATATGCCCTGACTGGGAATCGAACCAGAAACCCTTTGGTTCGCAAGCCAGCACTCAGTCCACTGAGCCACACCAGCCAGAGTGGAACAAATGACTCTTATGTGCAACAGTGTAAATGCATCTTAAAAGCATTTTGCTGAGTGAAAGGAGCCAAACTCAAAGAAGGCTGCAGAGTATGGGACTCCATTCATACAGAGTTGACACTGACATTCTGGAAGAGGGATAGAAAACTGACCAGTGGTCACCCGGGGCTGGGAGTGGAAGGAGAGGTCAACAACCAAGGGATGCTAGGGAATTTCGGGAAGGTGGAGAGTGATAGAAGTGTAAAACGTACACAATTGTGTGTTTCTTCTTAAAATTATTATTTTTTAATTTATTATGTATTTCAAATATAATTAGAATGCAACATTGTGCAAGTTTTAAGGTGGACATGTCACTCAATTGTGTCTGTCAAAACTCATAGACCCGTACTCTTACAAAGGTGAATTTTACGGCCTACATATTATACCTCAATAACAATACAACAACGACGTCTTAGTTCAGGTTTCCCCTAAACATCCCTGACAGGTAAGGATTTGGGTGCAAGTAGTTCGCTAACAGGAGGAATGGTGAGGGAGTGGGCAGTGCAGGGGTGGAGGAGAGGCCGTGCTAGTGAGCAGGCTACTGCTGTGGCTACCAAGCCGTGAGAACACGGGGGGACTGGCCACCAGCTCTCATCCCTCACTGATGACAATTGTTCCTGGGGCCTTTCCCCCTCCCAGGTACCTCCAGCTGCCTGGCACATGGGCTCAGCCCTCCCCGCTCAGGAGGGGGCTCAGGTGCTGCCGGTGGCCCTAGGAGTGCACCGAGAGGACGTTGGTGGGCGCCAGTGGCGTCTGCTTCGACATGTTAATTGGTTAGAGCATTTTAAAGAGAACTCTCTTTCCCGCAGCCTTGACAGCTACATAACCCTATGGATCAGCCCGGAAGACAGTGTCGGTTAGCCCGCTGCCACTACAGACCAGCCTGCTGTCCTGCTTTCTCCTGCATGTCTGGGTTTGTGCCTCGGGGCCCCAAGACCTGCCACTTTCCAGCCCATTCTTCATGGTTCTCCGGAGACAAACTCCCTGTGTCTCTTCTTGACATAAAGGTAGAAGGCGTTTGGCAGGAACATACCTGGCTGTGGACTGAGGCATCCTGTGCCCTTAAGGAACATTGCCACTTGGGGGCAACCTTGGAAACACACATTTCTCCAAGTTCCTGTTACGCTGATTTGATGATATTTCTATGAGGAAGAGAGTGGGTAGATGTCAGCTGGACTCACTAGGTTGCAGGTGATGGACTATGGGCCACAGTCCGGGGCGCCTTACTCAGGTTGGGATCTGCCTCTTGGAATCCAAGAAGCTTCGATGCATCAAGATGAGTGAGCAGCACTAAGAAGCATGTAGGTTTCAGGAACAACCGGAAGTGCGGTCTTAAATGCCTCTGCGTCCCTGTGTCCATTCAATCCTCCTACTGACGGACCCGCTTTCTTTACCTGTCAGCACAGGGCTGCCGATGGCTCCTTATTTTATACACATGGTGGGGCAAAAGTAGGTTTACAGTTGTTTGTGTGGGAAATAATAAAATAATTAGTAAATAATAATATAAGAACAAACACTGTTTTGCATACATACAACTGTAAACCTCCTTTTGCCCCACCCTGTAGTCCAGAGCTCCAGTCCCTAGAAATGTCTGAGGTGACTCCTTCAGTTCCAAGTCAAAAATAATGAGGCTCACTGGCCCAACTTGAGTCGGGCGGCTGGGACCAGTCAACTGTGGGCTGTAAGAACAAGCCACGTCCGTAGGGATCATACCTCCGGAACGGG